CGCGCCCCGCCTCACTGAGGGCAGAAGCACCGGCTGCACGGGCGTCCCCTGCCCCTCCCCCGCGGCTCAGTGCGGGCGCCGAAACCGCCCGACTCGCCCAGCCTCCTCGAGGCGCGCCGGTGGCTCCGCCATGCGGGTTGAGGGCACGAAGCAAGGGCGCACGCCCCGCTCGCTAGCTGTTCCTCTCGGCCCCGGATGTGACTGTTCGGCTGAGGCGCCTCGCGTTCTACGCTTAATGGGATTGGACGCGGCTGATGAGGTCATCACTAGGAGCCCAGGAGGAGAAGGGGAACGCAGGTAGGAGGCTGGTGCGGGTGGGTTCTGGGTTGCGCTCCGGTACCTTTTCAAGCTCTTTTTGCTCTAGTGGCTGCGAGTCCGCTCTCTTGGGCCCTTTTGCTTGGGAAGTTTTCCCGTAGCATTTGGTTCCTGTTAAGTCTCCAAATTAACGTATGAAACTTCTCTTTTCCTGCCAGCCAGTTCCTAGCGATGCACATTCGGTTTGAGTTGGATCCTTTTTCTTTACCTTGGGTATCTGGAGCCGTCTTTTCCTCGTCTGATTTGATCCGTTTCTGTACCTTCGGCGGCTGAGGCGGTCCTTTCCTGGTCAGGCCCTCTTGTTCTTAAATATCGATACTTAACCAGAATTTCTGACCCACCGTGCGCTCCAAAAGTACATTTGAATACCCTCTACGTTAGAATACCTGGCTACATTTGAATACCCTCCTGACGCCGCCCCCCGAAAATTTGGATAACTTCAAAGTGCCGTTTGCGAACTAAATAGGTGCCGTATTTTTTGGACAAAATGTGGTATTCCCAGATCCACTGCTTCGTAGATTAAGGCAATGTGTTGGGGGTTGTTTTGTTACTTTATTACTTACTTTATTTTTATGTGGTGCTGAGGACCGAACCCAATGCCTCACATGTGCGAGGCAAGCGCTCTATCACTGAGCTATAACCCCAGCCCTTAAGGCATTAATTTTTAATTAAACATTCCAATAGAGAGAATGACATGGTGACCATATTACAGATGGTTTCGTGGAAGGAAAAGAATTTCAGCATTATTTGGTCATAGTACGTTTTCCTAGAGGACCCCAACCGTTTTCTGACAGCCTTTAAAGAACACATAGGAAAAGAACAATAGTCACAGCGTGAGCCTGGCTCCATACTAGTTCTTTTACATCGTTTTTGTTTTTTGTTGTGCAGTACCAGGGATCGAATTCAAGGCCTTGGTGGCACTTATGCAAGTACTCTACTACTGAGCTACATCCTTAGCCCTCTACTCTGGTTTTTATATAATCCTCAAGACAATTCAAAGCTGGTAATTATTTTTAATAGTAGGGTTCACAGATTCCCTTAGTAGTCACCTTCAGTGTCTTGCAATCTTTATGTAGTAAGAAATCTTGTCTGAAACTTCCTGTGTATAATTTCTTGTTCTCTAATGAAAACAAGAACTACAACCTCCATCCCTTCTGTTATGTAATAACTTGTTTATTTCCGGTTCCTTCTTCCAGATATCTTTTTCACCAAGCTCAGTAACCCTGAGCTTTTGTTTTTACTAATACCAATGTCACAGCCTTTCAATCATTTTGACCACTATCCCATTTCTCCATGTCATGACCAACTTTAGGAAACAAACCTGTAAAGGAACAGTGACTATTGTTTATAGTAATGGTGATGCTAAGGTATTTCCTGAGTTCCAAATAACAATTTTTGTCTGAAAAGACAATTATGTTTATTTTAAATTTGCAAGAATGAGGTAAAGTTGATGCCTCAGAGAAGGGGATAAAGAATCGTGCAGAATCAACAGATGTAAGGCACTGACAAGGTGTGGTGCACTGCAAATGTAGTCCCAGCTACTCTGGAGGCTGAGATAGGAGGAGTACTTGAGCCCAAGAGTTTGAAATCAGCCTAGGCAACGTAACAGAACCCTATCTCTTTTTTCTTTCTTTGGGGGGGTGTGTGTGAGAGAGGGCGGGGGGAGGGAGAGACTGGCAATTGAACCCCCTGAGCTACATTACATCCTAGTCCTTCTTAATTTTTTATTTTCAGACAAGGTGTCAAAAAGTTGTAGAGGCCATCCTTGAACTTGTAGCCCTTTTCCTCAGCCTCCTGAATAACTGGGATTACAGTCCTGAGCCACCACACATGGCAAAACCCTTTCTCTTAAAAAAGGGGGGAGGCATGGACATTTGAAGAAGTGGACTAGTGGAGGTATGGCTGGAGAAAAGTGTTGCTAATCAAGATTATTCATTTATTATACTTTGAACTTTATTTTGTCTGAAAGTACAGTGAGGTAGAGCCTTTGAAGGATCCCATGAGATAATTTTGGTGTTTTTCTAGTCCATCATTTAGGTGACTTTCAGTGGCAGACCATCCCCCAAGTGGCCCAGGTAGAATTTCAAGGGAGAAAAAGATTCCTCCTTTTTACAAATCTTTTACCTGCTCATCACCCTTCCCCTTCCCCACCTGTTTATTGCCCTCATTCTGCCCTCTGGCTATTAGAACTGTCACCTGTGGCACTCCACCCTCAAGTTGCTCTCAAGATACCACACCTTGTCCTCACCCACTTCATGATCTCATTAAGTGTTAGAAGGGAGGACTCTATCATCTAAAGTAATTTATAGGAGGATATTAACTGCCATGCTTGATCTTTTAGGCAACTGCATAGGAAAAGAGAAACTTATAGATTTAGTACATGAATGTGGGGATACTGGTACTTAATCTATTTCCACTAAGCTTTCTAGTCCCAGTCAGAAAAATAAGAAACAGTAGCTTGCTAACAACTCATTCCTGAAGGATTGTTTAATTGAACCCAAATTTAACACATTTTTCTTACTATCCTTCTACCATAGAGGTCTGTTTAACACTTGTCGATAGTGGTCTTTGGGTAAGTTCCAAATAACAATTTAAAAAACTAAGTAATCAGTTGGTTTTGGAGGCTCTTGTTGAATCCCTGATCAATATTCCATATGACAAATGCTGATTGACTAAAATTAAAAGCCTCACTTGAATGTATAGATTTTTTAAAGTTTTTCTTAGCTTTTTTTTTTCTTTTAGCATTTCCAGTAATACATCTTTTTTTTTTTTCCCCCTGACCAGGCAAGTGACCAGTAAATATTACCCATGTGATTTCAAGATTAGAAATTTAATTCATTTTAGAATTTAAGGTAGAACTGTTCTTAGATATTGTGGGTTTTCATACAAGAGTTACAATTTGTTCCTATGGAAAAATTTATAGAAAACATCATTGTTGGTTATAATAGTGCTTTTAAGCATAATGTCCACTTATTGCCTAACTTCTCACAATTTGGGGTGGAGCTTAAGCAAATGTACTTTTAAAATTGAATTAATTTATTTCAGAAAAGAATTATATTAGGAAGAAAATCTGCTAAACTTTTGTCTGCCAATCAACATTTTTTTATTTGGAGCTACTGTGAATAGAATTGTATTTGAGGAAATAAAAGTACTAGAATCCTGTCTCATTCTTGTCTTACCTAAAACCTGAAATCCGAGTAGGGATGCCAAACCTGTATGCATACACAAAAAATGCATATGATAGAATCAGAGTACAGACTTCCTGAAGCTTTTGGGGGGAGGGGGGAAGACACGGTATTGAAACCAGGGTGCTCTGCCCCTGAATCACATTCTTCAGCCCTTTTTTATTTTTTTATTTTGAAACAGGGTCATTAAGGTACAGGGCAGGCTGACCTCTAATTTGTGATCCTCCTGCCTCAGGCTTCCGAATTGCTGGGATTACATGCATGCATCACCACTCCCAGCCAGACTTCTTGATTTAAATTAAAGTTGATTCACCATCACAAAATTGAGGCCCTAATTTAGTACAGAAGTGATCAACACTCTAAGAATTAATAGTTAAAATTATTGGTGACTTAAATTGCCTTTTCAGTAGTTAATTTAAATTTTATATTTTAAGTTGGGAAAGCATCTTTGCCAGATGAAGTGTCAGTATGACAGTTCCTGCCTTTATTTAAAATCATAAAGGGGCTGTGGATGTAGCTTAGTGGTAAATGGTGTGCTTAGCATGCACAGGGCCCTGGATTCCATCCTCGGCACAAAAAAAAAAAATAAGTCATTTGTCCTTTCTCTTGATTTATATGGAGCTTTTGGCAAGAATCTTTGTTATGGCAGAAGATTATTTAACTACCATTTAAGTACTTCTCAGCAAAAATCAAACCACCAGGGCTTCTTTACCTCCCTCTGAGTCATTTCCTCTCTAAGAGTCTCCCTTAGATCTTTGTTTCAGTGTCTGTTTAATTAATTTCCTCTATATACTAATTTAATGCTTTTGCTGAAAAAAAGTTTTATGTTTTGTCTTTCTCCCATTTTATCCTCTTTATGAATATTACTGTATGTGATTTTATGACCTTGATTACTAATATGTCTGAATTTTTTTTTTGCAGTCTAATTAGTGATTGTGCATGTGAAAGAGATAAAGGAGTGTGGCTACAAGTAGGAGGAAATAAGCAGTTTTGTATTGAGAATGCAAACTTTAGGCACCAGGTTGTTTTAAATGATTTAAAAAAAATTTTTTTTTTTTAGTTGGGCACAATACCTTTATTTTATTTATTTTTATGTAGTGCTAAGAACCGAACCCAGTGCTTCACACATACTAGGCGAGTGCTCTACCACTGGGCAAACCCCAGCCCTCAAATGATTTTTTTTGAAACATTATTGGAATTTATCTCTGTACCATTGGGCTAAATTCAAGTATCTTATCTGAAAGTAATAAAGCAATTCAGGGAGTTTTTCCTTTGGTAACTTCTCTCTTGGACTGTGAAATGAAAAAGTAAATTTGTCCCGATAGATTTGTTTTCTTTTTTTCATCTGACCATTAAAGTTGTATAAATTGTCCTGATTTCCTTTTTTAGACCTTAGCAGTAGACAGCTGAGACAGGGCAGTATTATGTGTCAATTCCAGTCTGTATGTCTGAGATTTCTAGAGTAGGATAAATCTAAATTTTATATGTTCATACTATTATTGTATAAGTGCAGGTAGATACTAATATAGTTTTAGAATCCGTGAATACATTTAAAAGCTGTACTAAACTATTAATAGCATTTGGTCATTTTTTTCAAAGAACACTAATAAAACTATTGTTAAGTGCAAAACTATTGTTAAGTGGAATTGTTAGAAAAAGCTCTTCATTATTTAACTATTTGGAATCCCTTTATATTGGTTTTCATGTATAAATCCTAAGAGACAGGTGTCCTTGGACAAATTACTTAACATTTCTGAGATTCAGAGTTTTTGTTTATTTGTTTTTGTGGTGCCAAAAATTGAACCCAGGGCCTTGTGCATGGTAGGCAAAAGTTCTACCACTGACCTACACCCCAGCTCAGTGACTCAGTTTTATTATCTGTAAAAAAAACCAAAACTAATCAGAAGAGTATTTTGAGAATAAATTGGTAATAGCCTATTTAATAAGTCTCCAGTGTCTCCCAGTGGCCCACATTTTTAACCAGTTCTCCAGATGATTAATAGTGTAATACATGTTTTAAAATTCTAACATACATTAGAATTACTTGGAAGACTTGTCAAACACATTGCTAGGCCCTATCCCCAGAAGTGCAGATGTATATGCCTAGGGTAAGGTCCAATGATTTCTATTCTAACAAGTTCCGTAAGTGATAATGATGCTGCTAGTCCACAAAGTGCCATAGGAAACACACTTCGAGACCACTGTTGTAGTATATTTGTTGCCATTTTGACCAGCCTAATAAAGATGGGAAAAGTAATAATAGGAATTTGTTTTTGAGTACTCATTATATGTGCTCAGGGTAATATTATATGTGTTTTATATATATTAACATTTCATTTTCTCAATGACTATATGAAATAAGTGGGTGTTATTATTATACTCACTTTATAGAGATGGAAAATTAGTCACAGAGAGGTTCAGTAAGTTGCCCAGGCACCCAGCTAATACACACCTGGAGAAACTGGCCACAGATTTCACACTCTAAAACATCCCTTTAGATCAATCCCCAATGCCAAAAAAATGAAAAACATTATCCAGATGAAAAGTATAATGTGATGATTGTGCAGCCCTCTTTTTAAAAAAGTTTTTCTAGTTTAAAATAAGTTATATTTAGTGTTTATTCTTATGTCTCATGACAAAAACTATAGAGGATCAAGTTTACTTGGGTTCCTGATGGTAAGGGAAGCCCGCTTAAGCATATGCCTACTAGTATACCTCTGCTTTCAACTATTATGCCCTGCGTTCAACTAGGTTTTGATAAACTTGACTTTTAATGTCTTTAAAATTGTCTTTAAGCTGTCTTTTTTAAAATAATTTAAATGAAATGCTGCTTATTATATTTGTATCCTACCATCAAGTTCTCGTATAAAACATGATATTATAGTTTTTTTCCCCTTTCACAGAGTCTTCAGGGCCATTATGGCAGTGAAGTGGACTGGTGGACATTCTTCTCCTATTCTCTGCGTGAATGCAAGTAAAGACGGGCTAGTGGCTTCTGGAGCAGAGGGTGGAGATCTCGTGATTTGGGGTGAAGATGGGACTCTTTTAGGACACATGCAGTTCCAAGGGACTGATGATGTTACCAGTGTCTTATTTTCTCCATCCTGCCCCACCAAGCTCTATGCATCACATGGAGAAACCATTAGCATACTGGATGTCCGATCCCTCAAAGATTCCTTGGACCATTTTCATGTGAATGAAGAAGAAATCAATTGTCTTTCATTGAATGAAACTGAAAACCTGCTGGCTTCTGCTGATGACTCTGGGGCAATCAAAATTCTAGACTTGGAAAATAAGAAAGTTAGCAGATCCCTGAAGAGACATTCCAATATCTGTTCTTCTGTAGCTTTTCGACCTCACAGGCCTCAGAGTCTGGTTTCATGTGGCCTGGATATGCAGGTGATGATTTTGCAAAGAATACTTGAGTAATTTCTAAATGTGATTTGCTAGCAAAATGATGGTTTTGGGTTGGTTGTTTTGTTGTTGTTTGTTTTGTTTTTGTTTTTGTTTTGTTTTAGCACTGCTGTGAACTGAACCCAGGTCTTTGTACATTCTAAGCATATGATCTAGCTACATACTCGGGCCCCAGAATCAAGTTATTGATCATGCTAAATAAGTTGCATTTTCTATTCTGTACTAACATGTCTTCTCCATTTATGAACCTTAAGCTTTATTTCTAAGTTGAATGCTAAACTGACAAAACCTAGTAGATTTGATTCACAAAGTAATCATTAATCCTTTAGTTATCCTTTCTGTATGCTTTAAAACATTTCTAAAACCTCAGGATTCAAATATTTGATTCTAAACAAATAAAGGGAAGTGCAGAAGGTAGAGTTGATCCATACATTCTCTACAAACTCTGTGTTACACTTTAAAGAAAGGAAAGGAAAGTTGGAGGTCCTGACTCTGTTTTTACTTAAAAATTCTGGAGTACATTAAATGAAATAGTGTGCGTTGATGACAATCAGAGCATTGGGTTTTGAAAGCAACATCACAAGTTAGCCCAAATTCAGAGGAAGACTACCATGAAAGTAGATATATCTAGAAAACACATTATACATGGGAGCTGGAGGTGCTTAGTTTTCTTGAGGGTTGAAAATGGAATATGATAATTTTTTTTTATACTTTTATTTATTTATATGTGGTGCTGAGAATCAAACCCAGTGCCTCATACACACCAGGCGAGTGCTCTACCACTGAGCCACAGATTTAGCCTCGGAATATGCTAATTTAAATGACTGAAGTCATAGAGAAACAGATTTTGGATTAATAGAACAGTTTTTGTATAGCTTGAACTTTTCCCTTGTTGGGATGCACTTCTCTTTGAGAAAATACATCTCATCACTGAAGTGAAAATAATCATGACTTCTCTGTTGTACTTAGTGCTTGCTGATTTACATATATTAGTTTTAATTCTAATCTTACCCTCCCAGATCATTGCTTTTCTATAAATAAGGAAACTGAAATTGAAATTAAGAGTCTATACTACTGCCTGACCAGAATTCAAACCTTAGTCTCTCTGGCTCCAAACCCTATTTTTTTTTTCTCTGTGACACCTGAGGTATTTAAACAGAATATCATCAGGAATGTGATAGGAGCTGGGTGCATTGGCATACACTGTAATCCCAGCTACTTGAAAGACTCTCAGAGTCGAGGCCAGGCTGGTAACTTAGCAAAATGAAAAATAAAAAGGGCTGTGGATGTAGCTCAGTGGTAGAGTGTTCACCTAACACATGTGAGGCACTGGATTTGATCCTTAGCACTACATTAAATAAATAAATAAAGGTAGTGTGTCCCCCTACGACTAATGTGTGTGTGTGTGTGTGTGTGTGTGTGTGTGTGTGTGTGTGTGTGTGTGTGTGTTTTAGAAAAATAAAATTCTGGGGCAAGGGATATGGCTCAAGCAGTAGCGCGCTCACCTGGCATGCATGTGGCCCAGGTTCGATCCTCAGCACCACATACAAAAAAAACAAAGATGTTGTGTCCGCCAAAAACTAAAAAATAAAAATATTAAAATTAAAAAAAAAAAATTCTTAAGGAACACATGACCTCTAGAAAGTCATTATTTAAAAATGGCTTATGTGCCCAACACTATTCTAGGCATCGAAGCTGTATTCTCAAGAACATACAGGGTTTTTTTTAAAGAGAGAGAATTTTTTTTAATATTTATTTTAATTTTCAGTGGACACAACATCTTTATTTTTTTAATGTGGTGCTGAGGATCGAACTTAGCGCCCCGCACATGCCAGGCGAGCGCATTACCACTTGAGCCACATCCCCAGCCCAATATACAATTTTTAATGCTAAGACTCTTTGTTTCTATTAACCAGTAAAGGAATTTTCTTTTCACCTTCCTGGTCCGTGGTCTTTGCCCTTTCCTCCTCCTCTTTGTACATCTCTTAGGAATCCATGAGGCTGATTTGGTGGTGGTTACAATGGCCATCTCTAGCTTCATTAAGCTACCAGCATTTAGTTGGGGGGGGGGCGGTAGTTGGAGAGTCTAGTGGTGGGGTCAGTGGATGCCCTGCAGTGCTGGGATTATTCCCAATCAATGAAGAATTGCCCTACCGAAGTGTTCTAGTGACTCTTGAGGATCATTCTATATGAGGCACAGTTACTCTACAACCTCTAAATTCCTTTCCACTCCTAGATCTTTGACAAAACCCTTTATAAACCTACATTCTCTATTCTTGGGGTGATAATCTGCCTGTTTGGTTGTGAAGAAGCACTGCACAGCCAGGTTGATACCTGTTTTGGTTTTTTTTAGGGAGGCCAGTTTTAGTGTGTTTTTGACTAGTCATTCTTTCATCTTTCAGCTATTCCATTTTTCATCACTGGCTCATTCATTATTCACTAGGCATGGTAGTTAAATATGCAGAGGTGACCCGTTCTCTTCAGATAGATGAGGAATGAACATCCAGAATTTTATCATTTTGCCTCCACTTCTAGGTAAGACATTTTAGTGGTAAGGCAGCTGCTAGTTAACAGCCTAGGAAACAAATATTCTGTGAAAGTTGGGTTTAGGTAGTAACCTATTTTGATTTGCCTGGCAAAAATGTTAAAAGTTCACTACAGATTAACTTTTGTAGTGGTCTTTTTTATAGCAATTGTAGCTAAGATCAACTTTTTTTTTTTTTTTTAAATTCTGGGGATCAAATTTAATGCTGGCACATTGCTAGACAAGTACTCTCTACCATTGAGCTGCAGCCCCACCACCATGTTTTCAAGCAATTCCTTCCTTCACCAAAGTTGAAACTTTTTCTATAGTTTACTTTAAAAAACCTGGTTGTCCAGTATTATTCTAATAAATATATTTTTTTAAAGAGAGAGTGAGAGAGAATTTTTTAATATTTATTTTTTAGTTTTCGGCGGACACAATCTTTGTTTGTATGTGGTGCTGAGGATCGAACCCAGGCCGCATGCATGCCAGGCGAGCGCGCTACTGCTTGAGCCACATCCCCAGCCCCAGTATTATTCTAAACTTTAAGAATAGCCTGCTTTTGGGGAGCCCAAGAACATAGACATGATAGTAAAAGAACATAAAAGTTATAAAAGTCTTTGTTTTTATTTAGACAGGTTTAAATAATTAGGCAAATTGCATTCAAAGAGGTAGAGACCTGCCAGACACAGTGGCACATGCCTTTAATTCCAGCAATTTGGGAGGCTGAGGGAGGAGGATCTCAAATTTGAGGCAAGCATCAGTAATGTGACACCCAATCTGAAAATAAATTGTAAAAGGATTGGGGATGTAGCTTAGTGGTAGAGCACCCCTGGGTTCAGTCTCCAGTACTACAAAGTAGGGGGAAATTTTTGAGCAGGGTCATTTTGATATGTTTGCATTCACTTCTGACAGTTTGCCAGTTGTCCATTTTCACTCCCTTTGACTTTTTAAAAATTATCTTTATTTTGTTAATTTTTTCATGTGATGCCAAGAATCGAACCCAGTGCCTCACATGTGTGAGGCAAATGCTGGGCTGCTGGCCCCAGCCCCAGCCCTCCCTCTGACTTTTTACAGACCTATAAGCCTCAAACTTTTATTCTTTTCTTTCACTATCTCTAGCTCTCCTGTTTAGGGTGTTAACTGCTCAAACAGCTGGTTGAGAAATGAGCGTGAAGTGCTTTGGAGTCTTTGGCAGTTAAGACAAATAAAGAAACATAAAAAGTGAGTTGGGGATGTAGCTCAATGGTAGAGTACTTGCCTGGCATGTATAAGGCCCTGCGTTGATCCCCAGCATCAGGGATTGAGGGTCAAAAAACATAAAAGGAATATCTAAGCAGGTACCATCCAAATTATTAGTATTTGGAAATAACTATAAAATTGGTAGACTCTAAAATGATTTAGCACGTTTAGATAATTTATATCAAATACAAAAATGTTCACCTGCTGAAAACACATTTGGTGCAGTTTGTTTTAATGTCTTAGGAGGACAGAAAATACAGTCCTGACATTCTAGGGCTGTATGAGAACTGGGGTACCTGCCAATCCACTTAAACTAGCAGATTTCTGTAATGTCAGTTTCCTTGTGTTCAGGTTTTTTAATAGCATAACTGATGATCTTATCAGTTTAGATCTGTTCATTTGACTATCTAAACAAGGCTGTGTTTATCCTACTGTCCATTAAAAATGTGAGTTATAAAATGTCTGTTCTTGAAAGGATTAAGAATGTTTTCTTTCTTGGGCGCGGTGGCACAGGCCTGTAATCCCAGCAGCTCGGGAGGCTGAGGTAGGAGAATAGAGAGTTCAAAGCTAGCCTCAGCAATTTAGCAAGGCCCTAAGCAACTCAGCAAGACCCTGTCTCTAAATAAAATATTAAAAAGGACTAGGGTGTACAACAAGAGAAGTGAAAAATCTGTGCTCCATTTGTGTTCAATGAATCAAAGCATTCTGTTGACATGTGTAACTAATTAGAACAAGTAAATAAATATCCAAAAATTCTCATAAGTATATTAGTGGGGGGAAAAAAGGACTAGGGGTGTGTCTTAGTGATTAGCATAGATTGACATGGGGGGGATGAATCTAAATATTATAGTGTAAAATTAGTTCTCAAAGCTTTTTTGCTTGTTTTATTTAGCATTTTGTTTAAGTCAGTTTAGTAAATCTAAAATCATGGTAGGGAACAACAACAAAAAAGCCAAATATAAAACCAGGATGTCAAATTAATTAGCAGATACATTTGAGATTTCTCCTCTTTCCCAGCTGTTATATTAGGCAGAAGCAAAGATGAATTAAATCCCTGGAAGCAGAAAATCCAGCATTATATATCAATTAGTAGATTAGAAATGCAGTATGTATAGGAAAGACGGTGGAATGTGATGGTCATCATTACCCTAGGATGTGACTCTACTTTGTGTACAACCAGAGATATGAAAAATTGTGCTCTATATGTATAATATTAATTGTAATGCATCCTGTTGTCATATATAACAAAATTAAAATTAAAAAAAATAAAATTAAATATAAATGGTTCAAAAAGAAAAAAAAAGAAATGCAGTAGTGCACACCTATAATCCCAGCTACTCAGGAGGCTGAGGCAGGAGGATCTAAAATTTGAGGCCAGCCTTGGAAAATTAGACCCTGTCTCAAAATAAAATAAAAATGGGCTGTGAGTATATAGGTCATTAATGGAGTGCTTTCCTAGTATGTGTGAGGACATGGGTAGAATCCCCAGTACTGAAAAATTAAAAAAAAAAAAAGATTTGGAACTAGATATGGGATAGAGAGAGAGACTGGGAAATGTAAGTTCCTAGGGTTGGTAATTTGAGTAATGGGAAAGAAAAGGAAAGCCATTCCACAATAATCTAGATTTAGTTTATTTAGGACTTTTTATAACAAGCATAGATGAAAATTAACAAATGTCATAATCAGCAGGGTTTTTTTTTTTCCCCTTGTTGTTTTATTTTTTAGACAGGGTCTCACTATTTTGTTCAAGCTAGCTTTGAACTTCTGGACTTGCGTGATCCTTCTGCCTCCTTAGGAGCTGGGACTACAGGCAGTGCCACCCTGCTCAGCATAATCTTCAGTTTACTTGAAATGATGAGATAGAAAGATATGGAAACTGGTAGCTGCTTAGCAATTACACTTTAATGAGTTCTATTCATATCATTATTTAGGATCTTGTTTTGTAAATTCTACCAACCCTTCTGCATTCTAGCTTTAAGTCCAGTTTTAGGTGGCATTCTACTGGCATGTTCTGGTAGAGACTGATTTGTTTTTTTAAATATTGCTGGGAATGTATCCAACTGATCATTCTCAGACTACTTTGATGATTTTGTTAGAAGCTGGACAAATACTGTGGTTGAGCAAAATGGCTAGTACATTGTATAACTGTAATTTCATCTTATTTAAAGGTGATGCTATGGAATCTTCAGAAAGCCCGGCCGCTCTGGATTACAAATTTACAGGAGGATGAAACAGAAGAAATGGAAAGCCCACAATCACCTGGTCAACTCTTAAATCCTGCTCTAGCCCACTCTGTCTCTGTGGCATCATGTGGCAATATTTTTAGTTGTGGTGCTGAAGATGGTAAGGTTCGAATCTTTAGGGTGATGGGAGTCAAGTGTGAACAAGAACTGGGATTTAAGGGCCACACCTTGGGGGTGTCCCAGGTCTGTTTTCTGTCGGAATCCTATTTGCTGCTTACTGGAGGGAATGATGGGAAGATAATGTTATGGGATGTGAGTAGAGAAGTTGAGAAAAAACAGAAGAGTCCTGCAAAACATACCCACAGAAAGAAAACTAAACGAGCAACTTACACCAAGCAGGGTGGAAACACCAATGCTTCAGTAACAGACGAGGAAGAACATGGCAAAATCTCACCAAAGCTAAATATTGAACATGGAGAAAAAGTGAACTGGCTCTTAGGTACAAAAATAAAGGGACATCAAAATATATTAGTAGCTGATCAAACTAGTTGTATATCTGTCTATCCCTTAAATGAATTTTAAATCCAATAAAAACTGTGGAAAAACCGATTCAGATTTTTTAAAAATTCTACTTCACTTATCTGTAAATCTGTATATCTTACACTTTATCATGTAAAATCATACCATTTCATTGTATAAATTTAAAAAAAAAATAGAGAATTTTTTTATTATTTATTTTTTAGTTTTCGGCGGACACAACATCTTTATTTGTATGTGGTGCTGAGGATCGAACCCAGCGCCACATGCATGCCAGGGGAGCCTGCTACCGATTGAGCCACATCCCCAGCCCTCATTGTATAAATTTTTAAGTCATTTGAACAGAAGAAGATAATTGGATAATATTTCATATAGTAATGACATTAAAATTCGGAGAAAGAGAACTAATATTCATTGAGTATTGACTGTGTACCAGTCATTTTACATATATATGTAATAAATGAAATATATTACATATATTTTATTTCAACTCAATGAAATGAGCAATTTCTCCCATTTTACTGGTACAGGAATCAATACCTAAGTTAAGTAACTTGAGGACCCAGGAAAATTTTGGGCACAGTTAGTTGCATGGAAAGGCCTTTGGTTGTCTTGTCAAGCCTTCTGACTTAGGGAAGCCCACATCCCTATCCAAAAGTGGTTACCACATTAGTTGTGACATTTATTATTTCCTTTTTATTTTTGCTACTAGGGATTGAACCTAGGGGCACTTTACCACTCAATTACATATTTAGTCCTTTTTGATTAATTTATTTTTAATTTTGAGATAGGGTCCCACTAAATTGCTCAGGGCCTCACTAAGTTGCTTGTGATCCACCTGTCTTAGCCTCTGGAGTGGCTGGGATAATAGGCATGCACCACCAAGCCCAGCAACCTTAGTTATTTCTGATCCTAGACATTTTTTTTTTCTGTAGATGGCCACAATACTTTTATTTATTTTTTTAATGTAATGCTGAGGTTCTAATCCAGTACCTCACACGTGCTAGGCAAGTGCACTACCACTGAGCTATAACTGCAGCCCTGATCTCAAAGGTCTTGAGGAGCCTTACTAGGTTGTAAGAAAAAAAATCTTTTGTTCTTGGTAAGGCGCAGAGGCCTTACCAATTGCCTATCCTGTGTTTATAAGAAAAGCATTCCAGGGTCAAGACAGTTTAAAATATACAGCGATTCAGGCTATGATGCTGGAGGGAGCAAGAATATACTGAAGTTATAAATAATCAGAATTCCAGTTGGTTGTGGTGGTGAATGCCTGTAATCCCAGTGGCTTGAGAGGGTGAGGCAAGAGGATCACAAGTTCAAAGCCAGCCTCAGCAATTTAGCAAGACCCTTTCTTTTTCTAAATGTTCTTTAAGCTTTTCCTCACACTGCCTATGCCTTAGAGTGTTTTTGTTTTGTTTGTTTTTAGTAGTACTAGGGATTAAATCCAGGGGTGTTCTATCACAAGCTACATCCCCAGCCATTTTTGTTTTTTTATTTTGAGACAAGGTTTCACTACATTGCTCAGGACTCTAGTTGTAAGGGATGAAAACCAAATTTTAATTGTCTTAAGGGAATTAGGGATATAGCTCAGGGGTGGAGCACTTGCCTAACATGTGCAATGCCCTGGGTTCAATCTCCAGCATCATGAATAAATAAGCAAATGTTGACTTAAGGGAATAAAAATCAATTTATTGACTCACATAATTGAGAAAGCCAAGAACAGTGAAGTATGTACTGCGGGGGTTATGCTGATGGGACATGAGTCTATAAGCACCTCACCTTTTGGAAGCCCTTTCGTAGAGATGGCAAGAGAAGCCTCAGCAATTTTGAGCCAGAAACCAGCCATTTTCAAAATGTCTTCATGGAGCCTTTTTAATTTTATTTATTTTTTATATGAAGGGGTTGATTTAGACTTCCCTAAGGTGTCTTCTGAGCTATTTTATGGGGTGAAAAACAACACCATCATAATATAGTGCTTACATGCTTATCCAATGTTTATAACATTATATTAAATGCCAGCAAGCAGTAATAATCATGAATAACTTCTGGAGATTATAGGAAGATCTTTTGAAATTTACCCAAGTACAACCTCATTTTAGCTACTGATTTTGAATATCAGACACCAACTCAAACTGCCCAAACAAAAAGGGAAATTTTACTTTTTACCATCAGGACAAGAGAGGAGGAGGGAGTAAAATTTTCTCTTAACCCAAAGGTAAAATGGACCTTCCCTTCTCTTCACTCTCTTTCCAGGGAAACCATTAAGAACGAAGACCACCGTACTTTCTGTCTCTTGAGTCCCTATAGTCACTTGACTCTGTTTCTTTCTACCTAGTGGCTTTTAAAAAAAAAAAAAAAAAAAGATGGCTTTTTGGGGTTACATCAGCAACTCTTTCAAAGCCAGAAACCAAGTGGAACAGTTTCCCAGGTCCAAGTTCCAACTTCCTGAGAAAATCAGATTGGTCCTTCTTAGGTGCTTATCCCTTATCCAGTCATCTCTGGTTAAGAGATGTTATCACATACATGATTATTGCCAAAGGGGCCCACTCCCATATGAGGAGATATTTCCAAAACAAGCTTAGCTCTGGGAGTCAGCTACCATTCAGGATAAATAGGAACTTGACCCCAAAGATTTACAACCAACTATTGATACTTTGATAGAAAATATTCATTGTGAAATTTATAAACAAAATGAACTATTATGAGTGCCAAATGTTTTGCTACAGTTTGAGTGTAAGGAAGAGAGATGTCTAGATTGATTAATGAGACTTTGAAGAAATGTGAAGCTAAAGTAAGCAAAAGAAAGCATCTCTGTCTGAGCTTATAGAGAACCAGAATTTCCTTTTTGACTATGGTTTATCTCTGGTAAGTCTGCTGACCACTCAGGTAACAAGTAGGAACTTCAGTGATTGCTCTCCCAGAAGTAGACTTTCAGTGACAACCACCCCAAGCCCCACCATTTTTAGTAGGCTGAGAAATATGCCCCCAAAGATAATCAGGTTCTAATCACTGAAACCTTTAAATATTACCTTATTTGGTGATATTTGTAGAGGTGATTAAGTTATGAGTCTTATGTTAAAAAATTATAATCATAGCTAGGTGTAATGGCACACACCTATAATCCCAGCAGCTTGGGAGGCTGAGGCAGGAGGAGGATCGCAAGTTCAAAGCCAGTGACCAGCACCTGCGTCATGAATCAAGGTTCGAAACATGAGAAACGGCTAGGGAGTTTTGAATTAAAGAGACAAGACTCTAATTACCTTTAAACCAGCTCCAGGACGGCTCCTCCTAGCGCCAGCCTCCAGCCACCTATTGTGGTATCGAGGTTTACTGAAAAGGAAAGAGAGAGAGAGAGAGAACATGCCAGGGAGTGGACTTTTATTGGAGAACAAAAAATTCTGGGGAAAATCCCATCCAGTGAAGATTAAGGGGGACAGCATCCCAAGGTCTTTGGGGTAGTGGTCAGACACTCCTCCACATGGACAAGCCCTCAGATCTGAGAAGGGTGGGGAAAACTCTGGACACAGGATGTGCCTAAGCGCCTCTCACCTAGAAAGGGAGGTAACTCAAATCACCTCTGAGAATGGCCTCCCACAGCCAGCCTCAGCAAAAAGCAAGGCACTAAGCAACTCAATGAGACCCTGTCTAAATAAAATAGGGATGGGGAGGGGCTGGGTTTGTGGCTCAGTGGTAAAGCGGTTGCCTAGCTTGTGTGAGGCACTGGATTTGATTCTCAGCACCGCAAAACCACATATAAATTT